TATATATATATATATATATATATATATATATATAATGGTATAATCATAAGTTTATTTATCAGACCTCGGAAAACCCCACCCAAACCCCACCTGTCTAATCTCATTAAAAACGCACCCAAAACCCCTCTGAGCGGACCCCGGGTGTCAACCAGCGAAGTTTCGAAAATCAGATAGTGGAAGGCAGGTGTCAGCAGGAGAGCGGACGTCCGTTTGGACGGGGGAAAACAAAAGTGATTTTTTGAAAACTCGTACCCACTCTCTTCTGCATGCACCTTCTCCTTTCCAAACTCTTACTTTCCATTTCTCCTTCTTCTCTCTAGAAAACCCTCCCTTCTCTCTACCAAAACTCACTCTTTCTTTTCTCTGATCATCATTCAGAGACCGTAGAAGCACTTCCGGCGTCCCAAGCTTTAGTTTGATCCGATTGGTTTCAAAATCTGAACGGGTAAGTTTTCCTTGTCTCTAACCGTTCGTTCTTGAAAACATGCAAACCAAGTTCTGGTTGCATGGGTCCTTAGTTTCATTCTAAACGAGTTTGGACTGTTGTTTTATTTTGGTTCGAAGAGTGGTTAAGCGTTGAAGGTAGAAAGAATCGTAGTTCGGCGAACTGAGTCTCAGTCTGTAGGACGTACGTTCACGCTCAGAGGTAAGGGAAGCTTATTTAATTTAATTGGTAGTTGTATGTTGTCGTAATGCATGAACGTTCGTTATTTGACTGAATGGTATTGATGCATGATGGTTAATATGAATGGATTGAAAGAACGTTGGTTTATTTACTGAGATGAAATGAAATATGGCTGAGTTATGTTATAATGTATGAATTATATGAAACTTATATGATCTGGATTGTTGGAGTGTGAAAGTTGAATTTGATATGAATGTATAAAGTATGAAAATATATGTTAGAAAATGAGTTTGAAAAGAAATGATTCTGGTATGAAATTTCTCATATAAAAGTATACATTCGTTCCTAAACGGTCATTGACCGTTCGGTTCACCTGGTGAACATAGTTGAAATGGGATTCTTTCATTTGGAGAGAATCCTAGTGGAGGACGAGCGTCCTCGTGTTATAATACTATGCTTGAGCGTTCGGCCAAGCACAGTTGTATCTGGGTATCCTTTGATAAACTCAATTTATATATATATGTGAAATGGTATATTTTCGTCGTTAGTAATCACTACTTCGACAGTATCTTATTATATTTATCAAGTCTGTTATTATAAGTTTATTGGTGCTCGGTCTTATACCAAGCGCTCGTACTGAGTGGTGCTCGGTCTTACACCAAGCGCTCGTACTGAGTAGTGCTCGGTCTTACACCAAGCGTTCGTTCTCGTTTCTTATATAACCTATATTGATGAAAAACAGCGTTCGTCTAATTTCAATAGAATTTCTTCTCTACCGTGCTCGGTCATTGACTGGCATTCGGATTTCTTGAGGTAAATTCAAATAAGCTAAACATTCACAAACGTTCGGTTTCTTCATATGAATGCTTCTAAGTATTATTATTGGAATATCTTGAAGTTCTTGTATCGATTGGTTCCAGCATAGAGTCGTAGCCTTTGGCGAGGTCTTTTCAGCGTTTGGTCAGAGTTATCAAGAGTCAGTTCATATAATTGTTTCACTTTGTAATGAACGTTCGGTTCATTCGTTCCTTGCTATATCTATTACGCTCGGTTTCTCTCTCAAACCGACAGTAAACCTCTCGGTCTTATTCTATTTTGGAACTGGAGACCTATCTGTCTCGTCTCAAGCGTTCGTCCTCGTTCTGAGGGAAGATAGAACGTTCGGTATCTGGTGTCTTTATAAACCTCTGAACAAAGATGAAATTTAACTTATTGGCAATGAAAGATGAATTTGAGAAAAGTGATAATGAAAGATGGAATTGGGAATGATTATGAATGAAATAGGAAGAGAATATGATATGAATGAAATGATGTGAAGTTGAACCAGCGTTCCGGGGAGGAACGACTCATGTATGAATATTGGAATTGGTATAGTATGACTGTGGGCATGCTAATGCTGGCTGTTCATCCTGATGTTTCGTGGGTACTCGTCCTCACGTAGAGGAGGGTAGGTCATGTGTGGAAACGGCAGGAGGTCCCGTCCTTAGGGGTACTTTGGATGAATAGGACTAACCTCGGGTGGCAGCTGATGAGAGTATTCCAGTTACTACATCACCCGGGTGCACGAACGCCTGTAGCTACACAGAATTCATACAGTCCGGACGGTCAGTCTAACAGTAGGCCTTGATTGAATCGTACGTTGAGATGTATTTGATGTGTTTGAATGTGATAAATGTATGTTATTACTTGAATTAAATTACATAAGCTTACCCTGTGTTTTTCCTTGTGTTGTCCTGTCTGTACGTTCGTCTTGTCGTTGCAATGATCATCCGTGTGGATGTGAGCAGATGGAAGCGCGCTACTTGAAGAGGTGCTGGAAGAAGAAATTTTGGAAGCTGCGAATCTTGTAGAAGTTGAAGTAAAGGCCGAACCGTAGAACATTCGGTTTTGTAATTAGTAGTTTAGCATGAAGTGACCGTTCGGTCCCCTCCTTTCCTTTTTGTTATCTGACTGATGGGTGCTTTGGCTTTTGTAAGCCGTTCGGTCATGTTTCCTTTAATTTTGTACAGTTTACTTTTAGGAACTCTATGTAAGGCCGTTCGGCCAAAACCGTACGCTTGAGTAGTATAAAAGTAAAGGAATAGATAATGGGACAGGTTTTTTTTAGTGTGGAACGAATAACGAATAAATTATCCGTACCTTACCCAATCTTTTTCAAGTGGATGGTCCTTCATCAATACACAACTTTAATTCTTTTATAAATTAAATTACATATTTAATTTTTGAACTTTTCATAATTGAATAATTTTGATCCACCACTAATATCTAATATAAATTAAAGGACATTTGAATGTAATTTTTTTCTTATAAACAAATTAGTGATTTATTTTCTTAAAAATTTCATAACAATATGTAATAATAAACTTTATTACATGTTATTAAGTACGCTATAACATTTTTATTTTAGTAATTATGTTGAACTAAAAAATGGTACAAAGATCCGGAAAACTAAATATGCAATTAACTTTTTATGGTGCCAAAGTTACGTATTGGTGAAATAACAGGTTTGAAAAAGATTATTTGAGGCCTTAAAAAGACCATAAACAAAAATCCAGCGAAAAGAAAAATGATTCCCCAAACTTAAACAAAGAACAGATGTGAAAAAACATTATCGTCATTGAAAAAGCATTGACAAGTTGTTTCGTAGATGGCAAAAGCTAACAAACTATTTTACAGAAACGAAACAATGTAATTAAGTTGCAAACCAAAATTAACGAATGACAAATTTGCTGACACCAAGTTTTTGCTCCTTGGTGTTCTTTGCAAATCCTAATTCTACTCACCTGATAATCTTTTCCCATCATATCTTTTCCCATCATAGCAAAGAACTCATATTTCTTCAATCGTTCTGACCTTGTTCAAGTCCTTGCGTGTGCCAAGAAGATGGATGCGAATCAGACACTCTTCTCTTCAGTGATGTTATTGCACGAAGTGCCATCGTTGGGATTTGAGGTCTACAATGTGTGCGTGAATCATCCAATGAAGATAATATCCGATGGCATATGGACACAACATGGAAGTGCATTTCCTACACAGTATTCATACACCATGCTTGAGCTTCAAATACTTATCATCTTCGTGGTCACGCAAGGCTTTCATTTCATTCTCAATCGATTAGGCGTCCCTTTTTTCGTTTCACAAGTCATGGTTGGTATCTGCATGCGTACCCTTTTGTTCTGTTCTATATATAATTCAGGAGTTGAGATCAAAGTTTTGTTTTTCAGACAGGGTTTCTGATGGGGCCATCAGTTCCGACAGGACCATTGGAAAAGTACAAGAAGATGCTGTTCCCGTTCGGGAGTCCAGACATCCTAAGCACACTATCATCGTTAGGGTACTCCTTCTACCTGTTCCTGAACTCAGTGCAGATGGACCTAAGCTTGATCACGAAAACAGGGAGAAAGGCTTGGGTGATAGGGCTTTGCTGCTATGGCATTCCCATAGTGGTGGGGTGTGGGAGCATGGGGTTGTCGAATTCCACGTGGAAGAGGATCCTGGGAGAGGACATTTCTGCTTTGCCTGTGGTTTTCATATCTCACAGTAGTTGCTCCTTCGCTGTCATTTCATGGTTGCTCAATGACCTCGGAATCCTCAACTCCGAACTCGGACGCCTCGCACTCTCCGCAGCTTTTGTTAACGATGTTGCAGGTACCCTCAACAATGTTGCCTTCTTCTATCATACTTCATGAAAATTAAGAATGTAATGCATGACATAATATATCTGTTTGAACAAATTTCCTTAATATTTTAGGAAAAAATAATTGTTTCATAAGTTAAATCTAATGTTGTCCCTCTAATTTACTAAATGTTTAATTTTGATTCCTGTCAAATTGTAGTAGTGGATTTCAGCCTTAAATTTTCAAAAATTTAACAGTTTTGGTCCTCTGTATAAATACATCATTAATTTTAATAACTGATTAATATATATATAACAAAAGTTTAACAACAATTTTTCATGCATGCAAACTCTAACATATATACAATAACATTCTTCTTTTAACAATTGAGCATTATATTAAAATTCGTAAGACTATAAAAATCTAAAGTAAAACCTGAACATAAGTCAAAATTAATCTACGTAGAAAAAAAAAGTTTATGGTAAATTCCTATAAATTTATTTATTCATCAACTGATTTTATCTTATATGCTTTCTTTTTCTCTTACAAATCCTACTCTAATAATAGAAAATGCCTTTATAATAACTTTAAATGTAAAAACCTAGTTGAAAATCTTGAATAGTTTGAATAAATGCTTATTGAAATATATATAAAAAATCATTAAGTTATATTTGTTAAATTAAACTAATACAATGTTTTTGGTTAAATTAGTATAATTATTGGTTAAATTTGTGTCTGACTTAATACAATTATAACACATCTATACATTATATAATTATTAAAATGCCTTCTGAAATTTTCATAATCATCATCAATTATGTGATAACATGAAAAATCAATTATCTAATATATTAATTTGTATATGTGGATCAAACTTGATTAAACAAATTTATATAGTTGATTAAATAATTATAATTTTTGTTATAATAAATGTACATAACATCCATTTTTTCAAGACCAGAAAACTTTAGTTAAATAGGTAAAATATTTTGATTAAACTAGTACAATTATAAATTTTATAAAGTAAATGTTGAAGCATTTATTAGCACTCTAGTGTATAAATGAAAGTTTTGTGATAAAATTGGCCTTTCATCAGGTGGACTCTGGGCAGGGATTGGTGCTGCATATTTCGGGAGACAGAACATGAGCATGTCTATCCGTATTAGAAACGTTACGGCATTTCTTGCTTACGCAATCTTCATTCTTCTTATTGGTCGTCCTGCGATGAGGTGGATCGTGAAGAGGACCCCAGAAGGTAGATCGGTTAACAAGGGATACATCTACGCCATCATAGTAGTGTTCTTGGGATTGGGCTACTTTGCCAAGTTTTTCGGTGAACCCTTCTTAGTAGGAGCTGTTATTTTTGGACTTGCAGTCCCTGAGGGTCCTCCTCTGGGTTCTGCACTCGTTACCCAACTTGAGCTGTTCTCCAAGTGGTTCCTCTGCTCCATTTTTGTCACATGTGTCACCATGAAGGTGGATCTCACCAAATGTAACTCTCTCTCCTTCGTAATTGTCATTTCTGGTGTCATCATTATGGTGCACCTGGTTAGGTGGCTTTTGTGCATGGGAATTTGCCGATACTGCAAGATTCCCTTCAAGGATGGCTTTTGTCTTGCTCTCATTTTGAGCTGCAAAGGGGTTGTTGATATCTGCTCCTATCTCCTAGTCTACGATGCCATGGTAACTACTTTGTTCAATCAATCATGCATGCAACATGCATTCTATATGGAAACATAACAAGTCCCGCGATTCTTTGTTCGGTATTTAAACTAAATATCTAACTCTAACTACTTGAACTATTGCAGGTACAAAAGAGAACAGTAGTAGATGTTATGATCGTCTCAGTGTTGGTCCTAGGTACGGCTTCGAGGTTTGGTGTGAAGGCATTGTATGACCCTTCAAGGAAATACGCAGGGTACCAGCATAGGAACATCATGAGCTTGAAACACAGTGAACTTCGGATAGTTGCATGCATCCACAAGCCATGGCACTCGGTTCACATCAAGAACGTGCTCGAATTTTGCTCCCCGGCACCAGATAACACACTGGTAGCAGAAATTTTGCACCTCATGGAGCTAGTTGGAAGGTCCAATCCCATTTTCATTGCACACAAACTTCAGCAAAGTGCAGGATCATCATCCTACAACTACTCTGGGGAACTCATTGTAGCCTTTGACCTTTTCGAACGTGACTATCTTGGTGCTGTCACTGCCAATACCTACACTGCCATATCCCCAGTGATGTTCATGAATGAAGATGTGTGCAACCTTGCTTTGGACAAAAATGCAGCCCTTATAGTCCTTCCATTCCATGTGAAATGGGGAGGGGATGGTTCAGTTGAGTCAGAGGATAGCAACATAAGGGCGCTTAATGCCAGGATTTTAGAAAGGGCACCTTGCTCTGTTGGGATTCTTGTGAACCGTGGCCCTAGCTTCAACTCAAGAAGAATCAGAGCGGCCATGGTTTTCTTGGGAGGACCTGATGATAGAGAGGCCTTGTGCTTGGCTAAGAGGTTTGTCAAAGATGTTGATAATAGTTTGGTTGTGTTCAGGTTGTTGGCACACGACAAAGATACCTCCAATTGGGATCACATGATTGATGATGAAGCGATGAGGGAAATAAGTGGAGTTCATGTTAATCTAGAAAATGTTAGATATGAAGAGATTACTATAGGAGATGCATCCCAGACAACGTTTCTCATCAAAGATATAGCCAACAAATTTGATTTTATTGTAGTTGGTAGACGCTATGGGGTCAGATCTTCTCAGACCTATGGCTTGGAGCATTGGACTGAATATTCAGAGTTAGGGGTAATTGGTGATTTGCTTGCTTCACATGATACAGATACTACGGCTTCAGTTTTGGTTGTGCAACAACAACCATCTCATGAAGACCACAGATAATATACATACATACATACATATATATATATATATATATATATATATATAGTTACAAACTTTAATGCATAGCTTTCAATGAATTTGTTCTCTCCTTAATAAAATTTTCATTTTTGAATTTATCACTACCGTTTAGTAGCATCCTTTAAGAAATAAATTGTCGTAGATGTTAGAAATTACTATAAAAAGGGACGAATCCATCAAAATAAAAAATTTTTAAAGGGAAGTTTGGAATTGTATGAGATGGTCTTGATGATTCTTAGAAGGTGTTACCAAAAGATGTCAAAGTGAAAGTTGCAGGGAAAAAAAAAATAAACATTCGTATTGCAGGCTATACCAGTTCTGTAATAAATTGCGATTGATGCAACAACTAGAGTGATAGGTTTCCTATAAAGAAACCTAATCGATATCCCTCTCAACACACAAAGAACAGACAAAAATACTGTATAACCTCCGAAATATTATTGAACAGAGAAAGAATACAAGAAGAGTCAAAGTATGGGAGCCTAACCTCCCCCAACAGGAAATAACTATCCTGTTCAGACAAACAATAACGAATCAAAAGTCCTCTCTCCAACTACCAAACTCCTATTTATACAATAACATTCCCGCCCCTTATCTAACTGTTTACAGTTAGATAACTAACGTTTCTTTCTTCTCTCATACACCAATAACCTCCTATCATTACTCCCCCCCTTTTCAGCAACCTTGTCCCCAAGGTTGAACTCAGGATATTGATCCTGAATAGTTGCTACATCTTCCCATGTAGCTCCCTCCTTACCTCCTTGCTGCCACTCGATCAAAACTTGATGTAATACCTCCCCTGCTTGTTGTATTTGCCTCTGATCCAGTACATGTATGGGCCAGAAGTTCGGTCCCTCAACTTGTAACTCCTCA